ATTTTTCTGGTCCTCATTTTGAAGTGCACTAATGCTGAACAGACTTTCCTGGCCGCTCAACCAGCCATTGCTCCCTCCTGTGTTTTGAAGGGTTGGTTAAGCCAGTCATCCTTTTGCTAGGCTTTCTCTTTTAACAGGAGTTTTGGGGATCTAGTAATTTCTCCAAGTGTTGCATTCCAGTAGGTCAGCCAGCATTCACGATGCCATTCAGATCTTGTTCTGTTATTCGTGGCAAGCATTAAGAAAACAGGAGTGGACAATCACCCTTCACTTCCTTAAGACTGTCCAGAAGGGTAAAAATAAATAGACCTTTTGGAAAGAGGAAATATGTTTGGGCATAATAAAGATCCTCTAGAAAGTCAGGCTGTGAGACATATCTAGAGCTTTGTCCCTCAAAGTAAAAATGAGGCTGTGATGGGACCAGTTTGTATGTAGTATGTCATGAGCAGAGCTGCAGTACTGCATTCATCTGAATGATATACTGCTGAATCATAAGCTGACCCACACTTTCCAAAGTACAGAAAAAACATTGATCCTTTAGACCATAGCCTGACAGCTTGCCTCTTTCACTGTAGCTCTGTACCTAGACCTGTCTTTTTTTTCTTCAGTCTACTTTTTTCATCATCTGCTTGCCAGATATCCTGCAGTTTCTAATTGTGACAGCTAGGTGTGAGTTACTTTTTGAGTCTGGGATAGGGTGCGTTTGTACAGGATTGTGTGTAACTCCATTCTCTCTCTTCTCTAGAAGCTCTGTGTATATACAGATCAAATAGGGATTTCTCAGTGAGCTGGAAACTAATCCTTCCAAACCTCCATTAGCACCATTGAGTTGCTCCCAGTTTGATTTACTCTTTCAGGAAGTCCCTGCGATGGCATCTTTCAGTGGTGATCCATGTGGTTGAACTGACTGTCTAAGAGGAGGCCTGGACTCTTACACGGTGAATCAATGCTTGCAGACTACTTCAGAAGTATAGGAGGAATTTGATTCCTCCAAATCTGAGTTTCTGTTTAAACTTGCATTATATTCAGGCTGATATAGTGATGCAGTATGTACACAGATGTCTTCACAGTTTCTCAGTTAAGGCACTGATTCAGCAAAGTAATCTAGCATATGCACAGCATCAAGTATGTAAATAGTGCCTGTAAAATCCATGCTGAATAAATAAGGGGAAACTCAAATAATTGAAGAGAAAATAAATTTATGTAGGGTAAGCTCATTCTGAACAATGAGCACATTTAAAGTGAATTTGATTTTTCCAAGCCTTTCTCTCCATCTTTGGCTATGATTTTTTTTAATTCTAAGGGTGTGATGAGGAATGGCAGGGTCAGATTGATTGTCCTCAAGACTGCAGGCAATTTTTGACAAACATTTAAGTCAGACCTCCCCTTGGCAGACGGTCTTTCAGGTTTCTGTGGTGCAGTGGGAGAGGTATTTCTGTGGTCTGTACAGCACTGCAGGCTGCCGTAAGAATTCACCACTGGAGAAGGAATAGCAAGGAGGTCAGGCAGTTGTTGGTAAGCATATGTGGGCTACTGAGAAGGTCAGCATCGGGGGCCTCCCACCAAGGCAGCCTGCAGAGAATTGTGCTGCTGGAGAAGCCACTGCTGTTCGCATTAGAAAATTTCACAGGAAAGAGAAGAACAAGAAGAAGGGAAAGAGAAGAAAAAAGTAAGGGGATTTTGTGATTGAATTTCATTTGTACAAAGTATAGCAGGTTAACAAATAGGAGAATTTCAGCAGGATCAGTGTCTGATATTTTAACATCTTCAGACGTTTTTGTAGATTGAAGTAAATTAGTTTTTCAGATGGAGTAGATTTCCCTTCAATTTAAAAGATGTGTGCTACCACTGAAAACAGTGTTTACAATAGTGGCATGAAAATAAAGGGAATTAAAAAATGCTAGAAATTTTTTATTAAAGAAATGAATCATTCCAAGTGGTCTCTAAAACAGAAATGTACATATCTTGTAAAAGTGACAACTGTAGGATTTCTTGTCTTCTTTATGACGAGGATTTAGACTACCCCACAAAAATGAAGTTAAAACCCATGTCAGATAATCTGCAATGAGCATTCTTTATATTGAGATGTTGGAGAAGGAATAGGCTCAGAACCTCCTTCATTTACTTGGAACCTTTTCTTCTTCCATCATTTTTCATTCTCAGTCATCTCCAATTACAGCAGAGCAGGGATCAGAAGCCAGCCGTTGAGGTTACTCTTTTGTGCTGGTAGTGATGGCAGAGTGAGAAATAAACTACGAGCTGTGACCAAAGGCAGACTTGTAATTACTTGACTATAATGATAATTGGCATTAATACTGTAACAAATGCTCTGAGTTCGCACATCCAAACTCTGCAGTTTGGATCAATTCTCTTGTTTATAAAATCAGCTTACTTTTATTAGCACCAAAATTACCCAGTAACAGAACGGTGAATGATCTAGTGAGGCTCACTGCAAAAGAAAGGAAACAAATACTGTACCTGATTAAACAGTGGATTCAAATAGGTTCCTACATAGGGATGGAGTTTGGAGGGGAAGGGGGTTGAGTGAAAATAGGAAGTGTTGGTTCACTTTAATACTGTTTGGGAGGTCTGTTGTTTTCTCCTCTGACCCAGTGTAAGTTTAGGAGTCTAAACTCAGGATGCAAAGGGCTAGAATAAACAGCCTAACAACAGTTGACATCAAACCTCTATCACACACAGTTGTGTACAAAGTTGATTTACCTGCTTGTAAACACTTAGCACTCATACCAGCTTTCAGTATTCGAAGATCCATTTTGTCTGCCTGAAACTGGGACGTGAACTTTCTCCTAAAATACAGGTGTCTGTCCCCATCCCCCCCCATATTAAGACTACATCCTTGGTGCTCTCAGCATGAATTATTCCCATTGCTTGTTGTTCAACACCCTGATTGGAGAGCAGATGAGACAGTTATTCCTGTTGTTGCTGATTTACTATTACAGCTGCATCCTCTTCATGTGATTTAATTTGAAGTTTCAGCCCACCAGGGGGCTAATGGTCCCCACCTATGCAGCTTTAAAAGCTCACTGTTGTTTTCCACAGGAATGTTATTTCCATTCCTAGCCAGTGATTTATTTTTTTTTCCTCAATGTTCATCTGGTAACTGTGAGGCAGTATTCCATTAGCCATTTTCATGAAAAAAAAACAAAAAAACAAACCCCAAACCCATGCAACTATTTAGATTGAAAGCTTAAAAATGAGAATTACTCTGTTTCAGTAGAAACTCAGCAAGTAAATTACTGTTTTGCAGTGTTCTAATGGCTATTGGAGACTGATATAAAAAAACCCAACAGGACATTAGCCGTCATTTAGATCCTTTGTTTCTCTTATTTTTAAAATGTAACACATGTAATTCACTTCTATTTTCCATATCTTAGGAAAATGTAGGGCAGGCGGCAAACCCTAGAGTATGTTTCATAGTGTGGTACTACCTGTGGCGACATGAATTCCAAAAACATTAGCAACTGCAGTGGAATCCAAGGTGTGATTGTATACTGCTAGCAAATTCTGCATACCTGATCAGGCATGGGGGAACTCAGTTTGAGTGTGACTACAAAGTTGTGACTGCAAGCTGGATAACCAAAGAGCAGTACTTCGGGAATACTTTCAACCAGGCTTCTTACAAGAACAGAATTATACGTCTCTCTCGCTAAGTTATTCTTGAAGCAAAACTTAAGAAGTGATGAGTTTCTTGGTTTACCTTTAATTTTTAAGTATTCTTAGTTCTAAATAATAAATGACCTTGAAAACCTTTCTGAACAAACAGAATTAACTTCAATGCTCAGTATAGCCTGCTGTCTGCCTTTATTGTTATAGTGTGAGTTTGAGTGGCAGTCTTGAGGTTACATTTTTGTAGAATTCCTGGTTTTCTATATTTATTACTTTTTATGTGATTAAAGTCTGTGTACGTGTTTGTTTTCCTCATCTTAAGTATATACTTGTAATATAAATATTTGCATTTTGTGATACATTCTCTGCTGGTCCCAAGAGTGCTTTGATGAATTATGCACCTTCTAGTGTTTGGATGTTTTCTTTACTGATCCATCATCGGTATTAGAAATCTAGCTCTTCACTGAGTTAATAGTATCTTATCTCACTGGGGATCACAGGACTCTTCCTCCCAGCCACCCTGTTTTTGATGGCTTATTTCTTGCTTTGGGGTGGTGAGGAGGGGGAGATGGGTTGCATTGCAAAAAGGATGGAAGCTGGGCAGACTGATAGAAGTGGCTGCGTGAAACCTCATTGCTTTCAACTATTATTAAAGGGTGGTGCAATCTTCCCCTTCTTTGAGCAGGAGGATATTATTACCAAATATCAGTGTTCAAGGTCACTACTCTTTACAATACAAATCAAATATACTACTTCCTAAGGTCCTGATTGATGGAAAATAAAGTGTTAGCTGCCAGGAAGCAGGTTTTCCAACACTATCACTCAGTCATGCAGTGGTGACTAACCTTTTCAATACAACCTTGATATTGCATTGCTAATTGTATCATTTAAAGAATACAAGTTTTTAATAGTTATTCCACTGCACTTTAGAGCTATTTTTGCTTATTGGAAGCTTACCAGTTAATAAGTTAACTACTAGTAACAACCATTAATGCAAACTCTTTGCTTGGGTAATGTCGCTTGCAGTATTTAATGAATTAGGCTCAAAAAAAAATAGAGCAGAGTACTAGACTTGACTGACTTGCTGTAGAGGCAGTACAGAATTAGTCATTGACTATGAATGTTAATCACTCCACAGCAATGATAATTTACAGCATTGTTGTAGCACTTTTGTGCTCATAAAATGAACTTAATAACCCACTGCTACCCATGGGATAAGCCTTCCTCCTCCTTCCCTCCCCCTTGCAATTGAATACCCAGTCTGGCTGCATAATAGCCTTGTGAAATACTGCATTAAAAAGAGTGAGCAGCTGTATGATAAAATAAACAGCTCTAAAACAGATTTGTTAATTATCTCTTTCTTTTATCCACAGAGGGTGTTTGTGAGATATGGCTGACCAGTGAAGACACAGGGGCTTATGGCAGAGACATTGGCACAGACCTCCCTACGCTTCTGTGGAAGCTGGTTGAAGCTATTCCTGAGGGAGCTATGCTGAGGCTTGGCATGACAAACCCTCCCTATATTTTAGAGCATCTGGAGGTAAGGAAGAAAAGAGAATCATTTATATGCCGGCATAGACGTTCATTGAGCGAGTCAGCATGGAACCTTGTGTATAGTGAGTTTCATTTTAAGCAGTAGCTTAAAAAAATTATGGACTTCAAGTAAATTTATAGAATTAGACTAATAGTGTTAAGCCATTTGCCTGACACAGCAAGTTATTGAGATAATAAGATATTCAAATCATTTTGGAATGATAATATTACTGAGGTCTCTGACCTGTGGAGCTTTATTATAGCGATGTTGCATTTGTGTGTATGTCTAGTGTTTTCAAGAACTAAAGGAAATGTCATTAGCAGGCAATGGACTATGGGATTGAATTTGTCTTCCTGCTACACCCCAGATGAATATTTCCAGAAATACTATATGCTGGTCTCACTCAACGACTTATTCATTATCCTATGTCAAATGCTATTCTGAGAGTGTGTAGAACTTCCATAATAAGAAATGGAAATTCTAAGTGTATATCTGTGTTTAAAAAAAATGTAAAAAAGTAGATCAATGAGATTAGAAGCAACAGAGTGTACAACAATGTGAATTTGAAAGAATAACGTGTGTATGCAGAGCAGGAAGTGAGAGTTTTGTCTCAAAGATCGCTTGGTTTGGTTGGATTCTGTCACCAAATGAATGTATTGAAATTCATAGGAACTGTTTATAGAAAGAACCTAACTTTAAAGAGGAGGGAAAAGCAGGGAAGGATATAGCTTAAGGTAAATTTTGTAAACGTGTGCATCGGCAATATCCAGATAAACAGCTGGTGTCCATGCTGCTTTCCCAAAGATATTATAGAATTAATAGTTGCACTTAGGTTTTCTTAAGATGTCAAGGACAGTATTTTCTCACCAGAGTGCCATAACTGCACCTTTCCCTATTGAAGTGCATGGGCTAGAGGAATCTCATCTTGATAGGAATAAGCAGTTTTTCACTTTACCATCTAAAGAATACAAGCTGCAGGAAACTGGAATAAATTTTCTAGGCTGTTATTTTATTCTTTGGCTTAACATACGCTTCACTAAGATAGAGTCTTAACAACACACTGAACAGAAATCTTTAGAAAGTGGTTTAGTTGTCTTTCTTAGAGCTTTGCAGTCTGTCTCGAACTCTCATATCTGTCACAAGTTTTTCCTCTTTTTTTATTTTAACATTTTTCAGCATCTTGCACGAAAGCAAATCAAGCTTTTAGCAATTTTCACAGTTAGTGTTTTTGCTTTCATTTTTAACTCACATTATTAAAAGTGTTTTGGCATAGACTGCCGCTTTTGTCACTGCTGCTCATCTTATGAGTACTCTCAGAAGCCTTTTTTTTTTTTTTTTTTTTAAATAGTTGCTGGAAATAACAAACTGCTCTGCCCAGCTAAGGGGCACTGTAGTAGTCTTAATTTGATACAGTCTGAGCAAGGTGGAAAGTATATTGCTTTCCTTCAATCAGTAGCCATCTTAGTGAGTGTGAGCATGTCACAAATCTGTGAGTGGTTTTGATTTATGATCTCTAATGTTCCTGTTTCTAAATTTTCTAGAAAGTGTTGTAGGTAGGACTCTCTTTGACGTGACTCATATTCAGGAAAAGTAATCTCTTTAAAAATGGATCTCTAAGTGTGATGGCAGAGCGAGAGGAATTCATGAAAGCCTATTGAAAATGTGTATCTTGAACGTTGCTGTGCAGAACATGTGTTATGTGTACACCAGCCTTTTTGTACAATAGCAACATCTGCTGTTGCTTGTCCTCTTCAGTGTTTCATACAATTTCCAGTTTATATGATTTTTTTCAGGATTATTTAATCACATTTCTGTGTTTCATGTATGACCAAGAATTTCTGAGCTTGTAATTTGGTGAAATAATTTTGATGATTTGTCAAACTAAATTTGTAAAAAATTTTTTTACCTTCTGCATTTTTGTCTAGTCCCCTCTTCCAAGCTTACCAGACTTCTATCTGAAAGATCACTAGGGAATGTTGGCAGTCTCCTGTATACATTTCCACCAGACAAAATAAACTTTTAATGGGGAATGTGCTTTTAACTTTCTGGTTGAGGAAACGGTAAAACTATGATTTGTTTAAAAAACAAAATAAATGAAATGAGAAGTTGATTAACCTTCATGTCAGTTGATTAGGATAAAATCCAGATGTAGTTCTGTTATCTCCTAAGAAAGGTATGAAGCTGTATTATTGGTTGCAAACATCTTTCATTAATTGTTTTAAAAGTTGCTGCATTTTATTAATTTATTTTGTTAGAAGTCATGTTGCTAACTAGGGTGATGTTTGGATTTCTGTGAAAAAAAATATACATGGGAAAATGTGTGTCACTTTTTATATCCAGTGAAAAGGAAAAAGTTGTTCCAATTGTGTATCTTTTTTAAAAATCAGAAATTTTCAGCAATTGCATACAACTGTACATATGGAACTGCTAGGCAAGGTTTTGTTTCCCTTTAGTAATGAACACGTCTGATAAGTGACATAGAGCAACAGCAGTCATGTAAAAGCATAAATTAGTTTTAAGATCTGGACAGAGCTTCCCTAGAGAATCAGCCTAAAAGCAACATGTACATGTACATTTTTTTAAATACTGATTTGTAGTATTGCATGAACTCCTCTATCATTAGAACTGGTTTTGTACTTAAATATGAGTTTTTAAAACATTTCACAAATATCTGTTTTTCTTCAAATAGCCATGTATTTTAATCTCTTGTCATTCAAAGCATCAAGTCACTGGCTTGATTGTGTGCTTAGAATTTGCAGGTTTCTTTTACTCTTTGCTGGAGTTTCTGTACCTTTCAACTGTCAGAATGGGAGGAGATTGGAAATAAAAAGAACAGGGATGTGCAGATTAATACCGTGAGTTGTAGATGGCGCAGCTGCAGTAGCAGCAAGAATTCCTAAGACCACAGTGACAATGCTAATGTCCTCAATGAATGAGGAAAAAGTTGCACCTATGGATACTGAATAAAGGACTAAAAATTTAAAAATGTATCACTTTATATACAATTGAAGCCTAAGTTGCACGTACTGTTCTAGCAGTGTGTAGAGTCATCCACCTAGGGGAGGTATCTTGAGTGTTAGGTTGTGCTCCCTTTGCCCCACACCTCAGTCCTTTGAAATATGCCCAGCTTATATTGTTTGTGTTGCTCAGATGGATCTTTTAAGATGTAGCTAGACGTGAGGTACTTCAGTTACATATTAATTAGTGTCTTGATAGTTCTCAGGAAAATAGATTGTATCCACTGACTAAAATAACATGACTTTTTCATACTGCATTTATTTTCTGTATATAGGTGGAATAGCTTCCTCCCTCATTAAAAGATACTTAGCCCACTTTTTGATAAGCTGCTTGATAAACTGCTTATAGATTGAAATTTATTTGCAAGTGCCAAAAAGTGATTACAGGTTCTTACTTTTTTCCTCAAAAATTTTTTTTCATAAACATACTCTGAGATATTGTCTGCTTAGAAAGTGTACAGTGGATGGGATTATGGCCAGAGATCTGTTTAAGCTGTCAGCAGCGTTTCCTTTGTACTGTGCTGTGAGGTCTGTGGCTGGGCTTTGGCCCTGTGAGTCTTCTGACTCATTAATATAGTGCCCACACTCACAGGTTCCCTGGAAGTAAAAATGGAGGAACAGAAAATGCCACTCATCTCGGGAGTGTTTCATCTGCCTTTGTATCTGGGAATCAGTCTTTTAGTATCCACTAAGAATTGCCAGCCAACAGCTCTGCTGTTCCACTGATGCTGGCACAAGGGGAGGATGACAAGAAGGAGGAGGAGAGCTTCCCTTGGGTCAGGAGTGGCGGGACTAGAGCAGAGGAAGGGGCAAAGGAAAGCTGCGGGTGCTCGTAACTGGCCTTGAGGCTCTCATGCTGGAAGGCTTGGTAGATTTTGGGGCCTGGGCCAGCGGTCATTCAAACTCAGGTTTATTATAGGTAGGGGGTCAGTTTAAGTTTTCACATGATCTTAAATACTGAGCATAGCCAGTGCCTTCAGATACTAGTCAGGTAAATGCCGTTCTGTCCTTAAAGATGTGTGTCATTTCATGGGAGGCCATTAAGCTCATGAAAATCATCATTATACTTGTGTGGTGCAGTCTGACAATTTAGTACTTTGGTTTTTATTCAGTAAATATGGTGGTAATAGTGCCTTATGTACTTACAGATAATGTAGCATGAACAGTTCTGTGATGAGAAGCAACCATATGTTTTCAAATGATAAATTCCGCATTCAGTTGGGCCTTCTGGTTCATAAAGAAAGAATTATTTGGAACCATGCAGTGTTTTATAGTCATGCAAAATATTAAACACTTTTTGATATGCTGCATACTGAGCCTAGGTCATTAGAAAAAGAACCTTTGTCACAATTTTTCCGGGTAAAATCTAAAATACTAAATTTTTTATCTGCTGTTTTCTTCAGCTGCAGATGATGTCTGCGCTTACATTAGTGAGTAGTATGAAGCAATAAGAGCAGATCAGGAAATCGCAGAATTTGATAATGAAGCCACTATGTCTACATTATCTGCATTTTGGAGTCTTTACTTCAAAATAAATCTAATCCCCTTAACTAAACTTTCCCACTACCCGTGGTCCAAAGCTGTTTCAAAGGCAGATCATTGGTTTGAATCCCTCTGTTCCCACCAAGGATTTGGAGCACATTTGCTGTGAACCTGGAGTATGGACACTGCTCTGATTTCCTTGGAAGTGAATTTAGTTTGCCCACCCCAAAGTCACCCTGCAGACTGAACAAACCCACGGCTGGGAAGGAAGCATGGGAAATTGCACTTTACAATTTCACTGCTGCTTTCAACCAGCATATTAATGTGAACACAGCCAATGCTAGTCTGACGGAGTTCTCCTGCGTAAGGTTTGTTGGTATGACAGAGAGGGTTATTTGGTGTGTTTAAGGAAACTGAAGGACATGAGACCCCCAGCATTGTTTCTCTTAATCATGGTACTAAGACTGAGAAAGAAGTTGGAGTTTGCAGTTTAGCTGCAGAAGACAT